GTAGATACACTTGGCGTTCTGTGGTCTGAGGGATTGTTGGCACATAATCTAGGTCAAGAAGGCTGTGCTAGTAAGATCAGAGAAATGTTGGGTATTAGCTCCATAAAACAGCACCAGTCAAGAGGCTTTTGGATATTTATTTCATGAAGTGTTCACTAAAACCCCACATAACAATTCAGGGAACAGAGTTACCACATTTGAAAAGGTTGGGATAAAAAAAAACCCCAACAAAAACACTTTGCTAGCAGCACTTTGTACAAGTTAACTGCCCAGGATGGAATAAATGAGGGAACACGGCTAGCACAGTGTAGTATTCACCACACGTTTATGGTTTTACTGCCAATGGTGTGACCATATATATTTAACTCTGTGGCCATATTGTATTTAACTAAATCCAAAATAGAGTTTCTTAATCTTTAAATTAAACAACATACAGTAAAAGCTATTATCCAGTGGCCAAGATAGATAAATATGACTAAATTCAGGCCAGGCTTGAATGATGGTCTTAACGGGGGCAGTATATAACCTGTGTGTCTTTATCATTATATGTGTGTGTGTGTGTGTGTTTGTTTCCTGGAGAGCAAAGGCTGTGAATGAACTCCTAAATCACACTATTGATCAGCCCTTCCTCCCAGACACACGCTGGGATCGAGGGCAGTTAAATGGCCTCTTTGGTGATTCACACTAAATCCCCTTACCCTCCTCCCCCACTATCCTCTCCTTTTCTTCTACTCCTCCACAGTCTCCCCTTGCTCCCCTCAACCTTGTCTTTTCATAGCCAGTTCATGCTACAGCCATCTAAATACTGCTGCATACTGTTTTCTGGATACCCTTGGTTTACCGTAATCACACGACTATTTATGGTAAACCCAAGTCAAAATGAAAATGCAAAGACTTCACCAACACAAGTGCAAACTTTTTATCATGATCACTTGAACACATATCCCCTCACAGGTTGTTATCAGACCAGAAAGGCAATAATGTAACACTGCCCTTGACAAACAGCCTATATTTCACAGGTAGGCTCTACTTATCTTCTAAATTATATATTTTATGGTGTTATTTGTGGTTTAGAATCAGGGAAATGTAAATTTTTGCTATCAATGCCTGAACTGAAATTGAGTGTGAAACTGATAAAACTGTCTTTTTATTGCTTTTCCGTGACCTGAAACTATATCACTGGCCGTACGCTTTGGAGTCATGTTAAGGTGCAATGCTGTATATGGATATAAAGGCTATAGTTTAAGATAGTCTTCAAAAAGTTGATCCTTTAGTCTTAAATTCAATCCGCAAGACCTCCCGACAACTATGGATTGTATAAATAAGTAAGCAATATGTACATTTCCATGGCAAACATGGAAATTAGCCACCTGTAGCAAAAAATGCAAGCCTTACATGTGAAAGATCACTGGTTATATTCTGGGAACTTGTGACATCTAGTCCACTCCTAGTCTAGTCCCTATCAGGTCCCAGTCCCAAATAACTGGAAGGGTTGCATCACGCTGGGCTTCTGGTGTAAAATCTGTTGTGGTGACCCCTTTGGAAAATAAGAGATCAGTCAAAAATACCTTATTGATGAAAACTGCTAACTGCATTATGGATCTCTATGCCAGATCTCTTCTGGCATACCCAGTGCAGGGTGATTTGTCCATTGATCAGTATAAACATCTTGCTTTTTATTTTTTCTAATAGCTTTTACTTTATGGATAATGTTTAGCAAAGCCACAAATTCATACAACTGGGAATACTCTCATCGATCAAGACTCTAGAATCTGCTGAGGCAAATTTCCACATCCTCATCTGTGCACTCTGGTTCAAATAAATATGGCCAACCTTCAAGCAAAGTGACTCGCTACCTAACTCATAGAAGATTTAGCTGCTTAGTTTCCAGAAAGTCAACGCATAGTTTGCGCAGTCACACAACAACCACAATAAAACAGAAAAATACCAACTTGAAATAAACTGGTCAACAACTGATTTTATATGTTCCTCGAGGCTAAGATGTACAGGATACAAATGCTTGTTACATTACTCAGTCACACTCCCTCCACAAATAAACAGCTGTGCACAAAAATAAGGTTTAGGTGTTATTTTCTATTTCATTTAGAGATGGAGTTACTTTTCCCTTCGCATAAGCTGGGAAATTTGCCAACAGAAACTGTTGCACATTTGATTGACTTTATACTTCATATATTTTAAATTGATTGTAGAGATGCTGGAAACAACAGTTTTTCATGGATGCATGAAAGTCTGCAGGGGACTTGTGGACACACTTTGATGGCAACATTTAAATGGCGCAGACCATCGTGCTTTACTTTACACTGAATTTGTTCAGTGAATGTATAAGATGATGTAAGTATTCAATGTTTCTGAAAGTATAAATGTGCTTCACTGCTGCACTGAAGAGTCTTTGGGAATCTAGAACCTTATATCTTAAGGATGTCTTTGTTGTTGTTGTTGGGTGTTTTTTCTTCTTTTTTTGAGCGCATTAACATTTATCCCTTCTGGATACTTCTACATCGTTATTGACCTCGAAAACCCCCATTGAAGTCAGGAACAGTGCAATTACCTGTCTACAAAGGGGCCATATAGAGCTGGACATAGGCTTGGCAGATTACTAGCAGACACCTCATTACTGCAGCAGACTTCAACAATAGGCCTGGGCATTGCTTCTTCTACATCTATCTGTCAAGTGTACTATTAGTCTGTCAAATGGGGACAGTCAGCACCATTAGGCCACCTTGATAATCAGACCTATTTACTCCCTCATTTTCCTCTTCTTCACTGTCAGTCTTTCAGTCTGGTAGGGGGAAAAAAAGCACTCCATTTCTCCATCCTGCCTTGCCTTCCCTCCCACTCATCTCCTGATTCTTTCTCAGACAAAGACAAGTTCAGTTGGTCATTATGTTCCTCAGAGAGTCGTTGTAATCAAATGTGGTATGCCCTCAACCAAGCGGGCCAAATTTAATTTCAAAATGTAGTCCCACACAAAGGAGATCTGGATGAAGCAATTACTATGTCACTGGTCTTTGATATAAATGTAAAGTTCATTCTACAATTAAAGTAAAACAGGGCTCAACTAGACTTCGTTCGATATTATATATTTTATCAGCGGATGAGAGTATGTATTTGCACATCTTTAGAGGATAGGAAACATGACATGAGCTATCAAAGTGCACGACTGACGAAAGGATCCGTGGACCCAGGCTACTAAAAACTTGTCACTTTCTTCCTTTCGAGACTCAACAATCTTTTTTTTCCACTAAGCAACTCCACTTTATGTTTGTTTAATTCCCCCAAGCTTTGCTTTTTACAGTTCGACCCATCCACAAACAGAAAAAAGGAAGAAAGCCTCATTTAAATGTTTCACATGGTCAGTATTTGTCCCTTGATAGGTGTTTTTTTGTGTACAAGTCAAAGCTCTACAAAAGCATGAAAAAAATCGCTTGTAGCAAAAAGGACCATCAAAGTCAATATCCTCAACCTGTCATTTCCATTGGATGGGCTTGGCTCCCACCACACAAATCACACAAGCAAGTACAGAGACACAGACAGGGAGAATAAGAGGAAATAATACCACCCTGAAGCTAACCATAGCATGGACACATGTGCATCCATGTGAATACACATGGATGTATAGAAACACAAGCTTAAAAAAGTGTCCTCCAATCTGACACTTTAGTGTTGAACAGGGACGAGATTTGAATCTCAATTAGCTGCTACATACCTATAAAGCAAGCTGTGCTCTTTTTGCCCCACAATATAACATTTAACAGGCAATTTCCTCAGTTAAGGAAAGGAAGGGCTAGAAAGAGCATGTATGCATACCTCACCTGAACAATTTTCCTCTCTCTTCAAGGCCTGATTATTCACAGTGGAGAAATATGAAATCATAGTAGCCCTGAAGATTCCTAAGCCATGAAGTGTGGCTTCATAATGCACATGATGAATACTCTATTAGGATGAAATGATTCACAGTATTTACAATAATAGGGTATTTGCCATTTCACAAATTAAACTGAAACAAAATGCAGAGTAACCAGAATGTTCAATTCAATTTTTCAATTTCATTTAAGTTACACAGCGCCAAATCACAACAACAGTTGCATCAAGGTGCTTTATATTGTAAGGTAGACCCTACAATAATACAAAGAAAACAGAGAAAACCAGAACAATTATGTAACCCCTATGAGCAAGCACTTTGGCGACAGTGGGAAGGAAAAACTCCCTTTTAACAGGAAGAAACCTCCAGTAGAACCAGGTTCATGGAGGGGCGGCCGTCTGCCGCGATTGGTTGAGGTAAGAGGAGCAATACAGGAAAAAAACATGCTGTGGAAGAGAGCTAGAGATTAATAACAGCTATTCTCAAATGAAGAGAAGTGTATAAACACATAGTGGGTGAAAAAGCTGACAAAAGATGAAATACTCAATGCATCATGGGAATACCCCAGCAGCCTAGACCTATTGCAGCGTAATTAAGGGAGGATTCAGTGTCACCTGATCCAGCCTTAACTATATGCTTTAGAAAAAAGGAAAGTTTTAGGCCTAATCTTGAAGCACAAGTAAGCCAGAGAAACATGCTCTCTCTTTCTAGTCCTCTGTCAGTACTGTAGCTGCCTAAAGGAAGCATGAATGATGTAAACAGAATTGGTCTTAGCACGGAACCCTGTGGAACTCCCTAATTAACCTTAGTGTGTGAAGACTCTCCACTCACCATTTACATGAACAAATTGGAGTTTATACTAGATAGATATGATTCAAACCACTGCACGCAGTACCTTTAATACCAACAACATGCTCTAATCGCTGTAATAAAATATTATAGTCAACAGTATCGAACGCTGCACTGAGATCAGGACAAGCACGTCATTTGTAACCTTCACTAAAGCTCTTTCTGGACTGTACTGTAACAGAACACTTACCAAAAGTAAACAGCTAAAATGAAAAACAACATTGATATGGACAGCTTTTTGAATGGTCATGGAAGTAAAGGTACTTACCAGCCTGGTTGGTGGTGATATCTATGGAAACATGCTGCGCAGGGTATGGACTCTTATTGCTGACACCATTGACGGCCTGTATCTCGAAGCTGTAGACAGTATGAGCCAATAAGTTGCTGATGAACACCCTGGTCTCGGTCAGGCCCAGCTGTCTTGGAACAAACTCGACGTTGTCATCACAGTGGGAACAGGAACGCCGGTTGGCCTGGCACTTCTTGCACACTATGTTGTAGACGACATCATCACGACCACCCGTCTCCCTGGGGGCATGCCACTCCAGGATCACCGAGGTTTCATTGACAATGGAGATCACATTTCTCGGGCTGGATGGCACGCCTGTAGATATAAAAATTATGAAAGATAAACTTGAGGGTATCTGTGTAAAAGATGTCATCAGGCTGAAAGAAAATTAACACATTGCTTATAAAGAGGAAAACAAAATAGTTTCATACATTTCTCTCCTTTTACTTTTGTCATTTTACAACAGTCTAATAAATACAAATGCTGGTTTTGAGAGCAACTTGTCTTTTTCTTATTTTTCTTCATCTCGAGCACAATTTGGAATGCTAATTTATTCCATTCACACCCAGAGAGATCATACAGCGAAACGTTTGTGTCTATCAAACATTGGTTATTTAGCAAAATGCAGTGTTGCATGGAGTATTCTTATCCAAGTGGCTCTGGAGATTCACGCTCCCATTCACTCCCTCATAGCCCGCAGCTGGAGCGGAACTTCAAAAACGATATTCAGAAAGAAATCAAGAAATAATGAAACTATTGTTTTGCTTGAGTGGTGGCTTAATATCAGGGTGCAGAAAAGTGCCTTGTTTGGCCTTCTGCAATTGCAGCACAATTCTTAAAGAGTTAAAATCTGTTTAAATGCCAGTGGAGAATTACTCTTAGCTGAGAGACCCTTCGACTGCTCAGAAGCAGCCCTCCCAGATACCAGACAAAGCTTTCCAAAACCCTTACCCTAGCTCCTTAGGTTAAGTGAGGCAGCCCTGCAGAGCTGATCTGGTAGCAATTTATCTTGCATAAAGCCTGACCTTTATCATTATAAGAGAAATTAAACTGACCTATTTCTAGACCCATGACTACAGTGAACCGAAAATCAACTCAATTCTAGAAAACCTTTTGAGGAATTACTCGACTCGCACACAGCAACACAAAAAGCAGGCCATTAGCATAGGAACAGTAATGATACATCATTACACATGTGCTTTTCTATAATATGGGCAAGTGCAATATGCGCAAAAGTGTCTGTGCGAATAAGACTGGTGCAGCCATCCACAGTATTTATGTCATACCCTTTAAGCAGATGTGGAAATCAAAATGACACTTTATGATACGGCTAAATAAATCGACAGGGTCACGCAAGGTGAACATGGCTTCCTAGAAAGAAGAGACGCGGCGAGGCAGAAATGCACGGCAGCAAAAAAACACCCCTGAGTTAGTAGACAAAATGAAAGTCTGATCAATATTAATATGAGTATTATGTCAAAAGTCCTACTGTGTTACTCCTCTCATGTGTTCCTCACACTCACAGGCTGATATGCATAGCGCCCTGTTACTAAGGGGGCTTTAAAATACCACCTGAACTGTAAAACACTACGGCCCAGTTTCCTTCCTTGGCTACTGATATAAAGAGAGCCCCAGTGCCCAAAATAAAAACGTCCAGATATTGTGTACTCATCCACCTTTTGAATGGTCTGAGGCTAGTGCTTCTCTTCTTTCAAACTGTTTGTTTTTATGATGTGAAAAAGGCCTTGGGGGGCCAACAGAAGGTCCCTGTGTGGAGATAGTGATCACAGCCAGAGGAGCCGGGAGAAAGAAAGAGGGGCTGTGTGGGCTGGTGAGAGATGAAAAAAACAACATGTTATAAGGATTAATAGTGACTCTGTAAGAGACTAAAGCAGTCAGAGTCGGAGTGTGTTCGTGTTAGCAGTGCTGCTTGTGAGATTTGGGTGTATTCACAGTGATGAGTGAGGAAGAACTGGAATATGAAACTGATAAAAGTACAATCTACACATCCATAACACTCGACAGTAGCTTTGAACCTTTCTTGACTCTGTGTGAGCGATACTTTAGATGTGTCAACGAGACTTAGGAAAGTTTTGAATATAAGTGGATGCTTGTGCCTGATAGTCTAGAGCATTATGTCTTCAAAGTCAGTACAGGAATTAGAGCAGGCTAGACAATTACCTTGACTTAGCTCCATTTATTACCAGTCACTGAGAGAGGAAACTGGCCAGCTGATGGCTGAGCTGTGGGAAGCACCCTTAACTGACTCCAGAAGTGGATTAAGAAAAAAAAGGCTTGTGAGAAAAGAGCAGAGATTTATTCACTTTGACAGCTTCCTCTCTTTTCCCTTTGAATTATAAAATCAGAGGAAAACAGCTAAATGGGATGATGAGGAAAATGAAGAAAAAAAAACAGATAAACCATTTCAGTTAGAAATTTTTATGGGTTTTGTTTGGATTACAAAAGCACAGACGACATTCGATAGGACTCCAGGAAGTTTTCAGGGGACAGGCCACAGATATGAGTATTGAGTGAGAGCCATAACACTCAGAACCAATATGGTACAGATTACGCATACTGAAATTCATCAGAACCATACTGCTTTCCTTGTCAGTTCCCATATCTATGCTGATTCAATTACCATCCAAAGATGTTCCCCATGAACCAGTTAGCAGCTGCATATACAGCTTTTTTTTTTTTAATGTATAAACATAATAACATATTTAGAATTTGGCAGGGTTGCTTTTATTTTTCAGCATAGACTATACATTAAAAAATGCATATTCAAATCTTGCTTTGTCACACGGAGTACCTCCTGGTGTGTTGATGGGATTTGTTTTTTCTTTCTTTGACACAAGTCCACCCGGACCTCATGCACCATCACCTTTTCCCCTGCCCCCCCCCAGACCAATTAGAACTGGTTTCACTGCTCGACTCCCGTCAGTTACCACTCAGCTTGTCATTCTTTTGACTCCACATACTGAGACACCCATTGTCCCAGCATGCTGGGTCACACCGACCTCTCTCCACTGAACCATGCTAACACATGAAAACATTATTTATTTATTTTCATTATTTATTTTTTTAAACACACGCACATCTGTGGGGTAGTTGGGGAATGTCAAACTGGGGCCTTGAGCTTGGGGATCAGAGTGAACATAAAACACTCACTAAAAAAGTCCAAATCAGAATGAAAAGGTTTCACACACAATCTTTGAAGCTTTATCAACATTTCTCTTCAAAATATTTGAATATGTTTTCATTTTAAAAACTGTTAAAACTGCTTTAAAATGAAAATTCAGATAGGAAGGAACATTTTCATTAACAAACCTATAAATGCACATCGCATCGACCAAACGCAGACTCTGGCAGTGTATGCACTGAGGAGCAACAGGAAACAGAGGGTTGGTCACAAAAATGTTAAGGAGAAAGATGATAAAGAAAACATATGAGCAGAGATTTCTTTGCTTAGGCTGAGATGGAACCAATACTTGAAAATACACAGAGAGGTACCAAAGCATCACCAATGGAATGACTACCGAGACAAAAAGGTTGAAATCAAAAAGGAATGAGAGTAAGCTTAAATGTTCTAGCTTAATTTTTGTGGCAGATAAAACCCAATCAACAAGGATATGTGCGTTTAAAAAAAAAGTCTCTATATTTCCTTCTCCAGACTAAAACACAATCCCTGGGTTTTCAAACTAAAGCTGGTTGAGCGTTTCCAAAATCTTGTTCCACCCAGAGCAGAATGGACACTGGCACAAAGGTAAAACTCGCATGTCTTCAAACAAAAACGTATTAACAGGGATGTAGCTGATTCCTCTCCTCAGGCATAGACTGAAGTCAGAAAAAAATGTCTTAGATAAAGGAAATCCGAGGAGCTGGTATTTAAAAGTGCATCTCTGCCTTGGCATATTCATACCCCCAACGGGAAAAAAAAGTTGTGGGGGGTGGGGTGGTTAGCATGCGGCCTTCAGCTCACAGAGCCATGCAACAGACAATCCATCAGCGAGCTAATCAGACTGATCAGGAGCATAGAGCCCCTACGTGCCTGATGACGGCAAGAAGTGCTTAAGCTACAGCATCAAGCTACAGGCTGGTCTGATTTAAGCTACTCTAGCAGTGCTCTTATCAAGACCTGTAGTATTAAAGAGATTGCTACTAGGATCATCTCACTAGCCCCCCTGGCTGAGATCTATGACAACTAGAGCATCACGCCTAGCTGCTACTGTATGCTTCAGCCTTCAGAAAAAGCTTTGTGCAGACAGATTTGCAGACAAATTATTTTAATCCAAATTGAAAAGCTGCTAACATTTGCTTAATATTATCAATATAATATTGCTAAAAGGGACCATTTCCAACAGATTTAGCATACAGCCTTTTGGTATGTTTTACTTAAGTGTGAGTGTATTAGTAAGCAGTTTCATTTTTTTGTCTGAATACAAACAGCAATGTAACTGGACTCCTGTTACAGAGTTATAGAGAGGACCGAGCACAAAATGAAGGAGAAGAGTGGGGCAAAGGAAAAAATAACAGAACTGACAGAGCAGATAAGACGAGATTGAAAACAGAGAAAAAAGGAGCCAGTTACATTTTGAAATGGAACACAGAGCATACGGATCTATTTAAGATGTCTAAGATGGAGCTGCTGTTGAGCTGAGATTGCTTGGGGGAAAATGCAAGGCCACAAAATAAAGGCTGAGGCTTTAGCTGATGGAACACTTGCTAATTCGTCAGGCAGTGCCGTAAACTATTGGAGAGCACAGAAAACTGAGAACATCTAAAGCCTAAACGGTACCAGCACAGCTCTGCGTTTGTCCTATGCAGAGCTAAGCACTGCTTTGCAGCCATGTTACATGTCTACATGTTGTAGCCATTTACTTTCACGTAGAGCTGGGCGATATGAGATTTTTTCATATCACGATATGTTTTTTTCATTTCAGGCGATAACGATATCTATCACGATATAAGCCAAATAACTATATTTGTAAGATTTAAATGTGCCGTTGCTCACAAGTAAAATGTGAAATAATCAGCAGCTTGTTTTTATTTAAATATTTATTTCCCATAATAAGTTCAACAGGGTAGATGTACTTAAGGAACATGAGACTTTTTCAGATAAATAAAGGCAAATATTGCAAACTACACAAAAGGCAGCCGCTAAAGCGTTTAAGTTTCAAAATAGAACAAACGAAACAGGCTACTAAATTGTCAATTCCACTTAGAAACAAAATATTAATTCTAAAAATAACTCTTAGTTTGTTTTACAGAAGAACAGACAAAACTAACTTTTGTCAGTATCAAATAAACTGAGAACTAAAAGGAAATTCTCAATCTCTCCTTGTTGTATAGCTGAGCTTTTCAAACAGTTTTAACAGTTACTTTAGTCTGACAAAAGCCGAATGACGAATTAGCGCTTCCAGTCAGAGACTGAGGCTACGTCCACACGTACACGGGTGTTTTTGAAAACGGAGATTTTCCGTTTTCGTTTTAAAAAATAATCCCGTCCACACATAAAGGCAGAAATGAAGGAAAACGCTATGAACATGCCAAAGCAGCAGGTGGCGCTAGATTCCTAACCGTGCAGAAATGTTGGCCAATCAGAAGTCTAGAAGCCTCGGTGGGAAAAAGTAAACAAAGCTGGGGCATAGAAGCAGAACCGAGTCGTATGTGTGGAGGGACAGTAACTGTGTGTATATGTAAGCATTTAAACACTGCAGAGAGTAGAATTAACAGTAACAGTATTGTAGAAATTCATTTCACCGAAACAATAACATGGCGCACAGTGTGACGCATGCACCAGTTTATTGTATTTCCAGACTTGCTTTCGGCACAATTTACAGTGCACGCTACTCTGTTTTTTGTCAGACTTGAAATAGCCGAAATACCTTCACACTACGGAACTTCTATGGCTCTTCCGTTTGACAATCTCTCCGGCATTGGAACCGTCATCTGTTTTCTCTTCGGTCACGCTCGGTTGATTTTTCTAGTCGGCACACTCATTTCCTCCATTACGCGCTGGCTCCATTACCCGCTGCCTGCTTCCCAAACAAACACACGTGCGGCTTGGCACTTGTGCTGTACGTAACAAGTCACGCGACGTGACGCTGCGGTTGTGATTGGTTCGGCTCTGCGCTACTTAGTTTGGATTGGCTGACCTTTTTTTAAAAAAAATTTTTATTTTAAGAGGACAAGAGCGGCGAAGTCTATCGCGATAGCTTAATTTCTCTATCGAGTAAAAGTTATATCGCGATACATATCGTTATCGTTCTATCGCCCAGCTCTACTTTCACGTCAAGAACATGTGGTACAACCAGTCTGTGCGCTAGTCCTGTTTGTGCTATTGTTGCCGCAGAAAAGATAGAAGTTGTGACCAAGAGCTGAAATGAAACCTAGTGACGCCATCATCTTTGTGGTGATCAATGCTGTTGCCCTCATACCTGTTCAGGTCCACTTTTTCACCAAACGGCACTCTCCCTACGTGTAACGTCTTCCTCGGTGGATTAAGCGCTGCTGTGCACACCTTTCACATAGCCAAATCGTTCAGAGACAGACAGCCATGCTCCGCTGGGCATTCACTGCACCTTTTAGCCCCTTTTATTCATTTATTTATTTGTTTACTCATTTATTTTTTTCACAAAAGAATACATGGCTAAATAAGAACAATGAACTCAGAGTTTAGAAGCAAAAGCTATACAGCTGCTACCTGATTAGGAAAGTTCTATGTGCTTTTGAGTCCATTTGGGCCAATTAATCAGGTCTATGTGAATAAATGTGGGCTAAATGAACACATAACCACACCAATAATGCTTCCAGCCTGATGTTGTGAAGAGAACAAACCATTAAGACACTCCCCAGTGACAGTGAAGGAAGTGAGGTAAACAAACTTTTTGGGGTCTAACAATGCTCTCCCTCTGCATAACTGTGTGTCAGCAGGGATAACAGGAAGGCTTAGCATATTGCTTTTACATCATATTAAGATAACTATGATGCTGTGAGAGGCCTTATTGGATCTCCAGCGGATAACGGCAGGACAGTGTCGAAGTTTCACAGCATTTGCCTGAGTAATTAGGACTTCAGGGGATGATACTAGACACGGAGAAAGAACAACAGCAAAAACGAGAGAAGTGAGAAAGGATGTGGAGAGAGAGAGAGAGATAGCTGAGAGGAAACACAAGGAGCTCCATCAATCCTAAGAAGAAGACAATAAGAAGACAAGATGGGTGCTGGATAAATGCACATTCATATGCATTTAAATTAAAATAGATAACCCCGCGTCTCACCCTGTGATAGCCGTGATAGACCACTGGATCCTTTTCAGTTTGTCTCAGAAAATGCCAGAAAGTGCCATTTCTGACATTTTGTTTATATGTGGCTTTTAATATGTATTAGTGCCTTAGTGCGCAGCCAATCTAATTTATTGGATACTTACTGGTGCAAGGTTTATCTGGCTGATCACCATCCCCACGGTAGTAGCCGTTGCGGCACACGCAGATGGTGGCAGCCTCAGATGTGGAGCGGCTGTTAGGAGGGCACTGTAGACAAAGACTTGGACCTTGGGTCGACTTGAAGGTACCCGGTGGACATGCTGTGACAAGAAAAAAAACACTGTTAGAACTGTAAAATACAACAAAAAAAGCATGAATTCAATTAAGGCAAGCACAAGGTTAAGCTATTTTTAAGTGATTTTTGTCAATTGCCTTTCTGCAAGTTACTCTTACCCCCTCCCAAACTCCGCTATATTTAACGCATGTCTTATTTTGCTCCTAATGTGGCTGTCATCGCTGGTGCTAGGAGGGTTAATTTATGTGGGACAGCAGTGGAAGATGTTATCAGAAATAGAGGTAATTGGCATGGATGGATGGCTCAAGGATGTGAACACGGTGCTGCAGCTTTGGCTGTATCCTGTACTTCTCCACTGAGTCCTCGCCCTGAATGTTTAGCGGCGAGCTCTGCATATCTATAATACAGGCATATTGATTAAACACAACTTAACTTAACCGAACTCTCTGAACTCAGTGTGATAGAGAGAGGGAAAACCCCAATACCTAAACAGATGTGTCTTGGATTACAGCCACCCAAGGTATTTATTTAATTTTTTTTTTTTTAACAGTGACCGATGGGTTTCAGGTTTCTGAAAAACAGCAGAGTGCACAAAAGCCCAAAAGTGTTTTAACGTCTGAATCTTAAGATCTGTAGGCACACAAAGGCTTGGTGAAGAGCTTGCGGTAAATAATGATTTGTGTTCTTCTACAAATTCTACAGGTGTGACACAGCGATTTCAGGTAGTATAGCTGAACAGTTTGTAATCCCTCCTCCAGATAAATCCCACACTCCACCTGAGCTGTCAGATTTATCCAGTGAATGGCCGCCTCAGCCTACAAGACAGCACAAAGTCCCCAGGAATATCTAATGGAAACAGAGTTTGCCCTTACATCAAAAACATTTGGATCCACATTCGATGCTACCTATAGAGCTGAAATACTATACTATATCCAGACAGAGGACCATGCCTGAAACCTGTGCTTAGCTCATATTACTTTGGTTAGTGCATTACTCGCTCCCTCTTTGGGTCTGTTTGCTTTTGACCTGCTGGTTTGTTCTTCTGTTGGTAGACGCTTTTGTTCAATATTAAAATGAGCCGGCTGCGTCTTTGTTTCTAAATTAGGGCATTGTTAGCAGAAGCCTCCACACCCACTGGCACATTTTTGCATTGTGTTTTCATTTGCTTTGCTTAGTAAATTTGACCCCTCACTGTATGCAGACATATTTAAGCGCAGTACTGAATTTTTACTCATTTACGTTTTCCTCGTGCACAGCAGTGTGCAAAAGTTTCGGGCACTTTAAATGTTTTATTCATCGCCTGATACCAGAGCGATTAGGCTCTGATCATTTAAAAGTTATTCTGCAGCATGACCACAATCTCAGACAGGCTGCGAGAGTCATACTGGCCTTACTGATAAGAAGAACGAGGATTTCTAAAACAGTCCTGCCAGCACTAGTTTGTGGATGTTGGTGTGACGTGTTAAAGTCCCAAATTCTAAAGGCTATGAAGATTATTGTAGCTGATAGCATTGTGCTTAAGTGCAGGCAATAACCTAATCCACTCACCCCAATATCCCAAAAGAATACAAAGAGTTTCTGTGTGGTGTGGAGGGGCTTACTGAGTAAAATAACTATGATCAATGTCCTATGTCTTAGCAGGCTTACTGATGAGGGAGGATGCTCTGGCACTGCTGCATGCCAAAAGGGGAATAAGTTATACATTTAATGGGGCAAGGCTGTGTCTATTTGCCTGAGCGATAGACAGATAAAAACAGTCATTTTATTCATTTCGCTCACAAAGTGAAACACCTACCCAGCACTAAGATGCTTATCAAGAAAAACAATGACAGAGTTTATCAAAATGACGGGCCAGTGGTTTGGCTAAGTATTTCAAATATTAATAGAGACTGCTTAAATCAGTCCATCAACAAAATAGTTTAGTTTAATCTGACTAAGAGCCTTCAATTCTAATATGAACACGTTGCCAAACGGAGAGCTATTTAAACTAACAATGGTAAATGGCCTGTATTTGTATAGCGCTTTACTAGTCCCTAAGGACCCCAAAGCGCTTTACACAACCAGTCATCCACCCATTCACACACACATTCACACACACACACATTCACACTGGGGCGCACTGACAGAGGCGAGGCTGCTGGACACTGGCGCCGCCAGGCCCTCTGACCACCACCAGTAGACAACGGGTGAAGTGTCTTGCCCAAGGACACAACGACCGAGACTGTCCAAGCTGGGGCTCGAACCGGCAACCTTGAGCCACTCCCAACTCTTGAGCCACGATCGCCACAATGGCAAGGTGTTGGGCCCATTCTCCCTCACTGCCAGGTCAAACACTAGAAAATATAGCACTGCATGAAAGGGAAACCTCCACTGCTAATTAAACAGGTCTTTGAGACACAATTAAAAATATTATGCTTAAAAAATTAAAAATGCTGGACATTTTATAGATCCTATTTTCTGACATTTATAGACTAGGATTTGGCCAGCCCCTCTTATAAGCTGTCGGGAAGGATTAGCGATAAAGAAAGAATGAGAAGCAAATCAGGTTAAAAAGAGAGATGATTTATATACACACACACACGCACACAAGTGAAGGCGATTCCCAGCGAGCCGCGGTTCTTACATGTCCTTTGGCTGGGCTGACGGACACACTGTGGGCTAACTGACTGACCTTATGTCTAGTCACACAGCAATTTCCACACACAGTCAGAGCACCAATATTTATCAAACATACATGATCAAACTGCACCAAGTCCAAATAGAAGAAGAACATATTGCTATTGCTATGTCGTGGATGTTTAAGACCTGTCTTGATACAGCAGATGTGCAAGGGTTGTGAAAATGTTACTGCATATAGGCAATAATGTTCCTACGGGTGTGTAGGGGGGCTCTTTTTTTAGTGTGGGACTGATAGTTTGCAAACTCTCTTGACTTGTAACACTGACTCCATGTGTGATGAGATCAAGCTTCTTCTAATACAAGAACATAGAGACTCTATAAAACTCTCCCTGGCCATATGTGGGAGCACATACCAGCTGCAGACCCATTTTATAAAGCAATAACCACCAACAATATCAGAGATTACAAGACGATAAAACGCAGATCAAAAATTCATTTTTAGCAGGAGAAGGGAAGGGATCTTATGTCTCATCATCTTTGCCACATAAAATTCAAACATCGGGGGAGCAGAGCACCGCACGCATGCAGATGGCGTCTCACAAAAGCAAGCGAAAAGCTTCAAATGCATTGCTCGGCTCTTCTGAAAAGGGATCACAATAGGTTGTTCAGCGTGTGTTTAATGGGGTGTGAGGAGAATATGTGCATTGGATTCTGCCCTCGGGTTGTGTGTTTACAGACAGACAGTAGCTGGGCTAGACACTCATAAATGGGAAAAAGTGAGGAGAAAAGCAGGAGAGCCCGTGCTGATTCAGCAGTCTGAGATAGCGGTGCTACAAATGAGTCTCTAAGCAAACCTATGAGCAAAAGAATACACACACACTCTTAGATTCCTGTACACAACTCATGTAAATGCACACACTCCATAATCCTACGAAAACGCTCCCATACTGGCATCAGTGATATCACGTACTATGACTACAGCTGACCCGATTAAATGAGATGGCGCACCCGCATTTTCCGCCACTGGACTAAAACATGTTTGACAGAACCTGAGATAATTTAATACCTCTCCTTGGGAAAACCGAAGACGCTACAATCAGCATTACAGGAGGTGAGATAAGTGACAACCTGGCAGAAACAAAGCAGCCCCGCAAAGACGCAAGCAAACACTTTAGACACAACATAAGATTAATATCTGTCTAGATTAGAACCCCCGCTCTGGTTTTCTTCCTTAATTGAGGAAAGGTTTGCGCACTATTTGCTCTCAGCAATGACTTAATCCTTAAAACAGACAAAAAAAGAAAGCACAAGCAAAACACAAAAGCATAAAAAAAACAATTATGCAAATGTAACATTTCAATCCATAGGATCTCTTCAGGTAAACTGCCTCGTTCCTTTGCACCATAATGTTTTTTTGGGTTTTTTGTTTTTTTTTTGCTCTGGTGCCTGAAAACCTGTGCCTCGGGCGTACTTGCTGTTTTTCCTCTGTCTTCTCCCTGTAATTGACAAATCGTATGTGCATGAATGTTACCATTAAACTCATCAATTAGCGCCCTACTAGTCTGCCTCACAAAACCAGAAGGAGGAATAGATATGGGCAAAAAGAGAAAGTCAGAATGATAAAGTGATTTGAACTATTATGTCAATAACTCACAAAACCGCAAATGTCTCATTCGAAGAGCAGGCAGCCCCTAGAATGTATCGTTATGCTTTATTGATATTGGAACTGAGCCCAAAATCTTTCTTCCTGATTTGTGAATATTTAGATTGCAGGAGGTCAGGAGTTCCTGTGCCGCAGAAGGGGGATGGAACAAGGTGAAGAAGGAGAGGAAGAAGAAGAAGGACGAGAAGAAAAAGAAAACATGTAGCACGCAGAGCCATAACTCATCAGATGTGTTGGTTTTCAGGGAGATGAAGGCTGTAATATTATATCAACAAGCAATTAGTCTCCCCAGTGGGGGAATAACCCACATTTGAAATGGCTGTATGCAGAAACAAAACATTCAGTCCTCTGAAGTGGTCCCTTCAGGACTCTCTTTGCATTGTTCAATCCTCCTGCTCACTTCTCTTTCCTGACTTCTCTTTGTCTCTCTCCCTGGAATTGCTTTCCCCCCCCACCTTGTACCTTTCCTCCCGTTGTTCCTTTCTCGCCTTGATTGACAGCTCTGAATCTATTCGAAGGCTGGCTGTCTTTCTTTCCCTCCCTCTCTCTCTATCTCACTCTACAGTTAGTTGACGGAGGTATGGCAGCTGTGGATCGCTGCTCACTACTCATGACAGTCTAACTGGGATGACTTCATGTCATAGCAGAGCCTGAGCAGCAGAGTTGAGATGACGATCTCCTCAATGTCATTTTCCCACCTGGTTCAAGATTACTGATAATGACGACAACCTAAATCTCTCCGG